ATGACTATAGTCATAAGGTTATTGCATTATATTTGGAAATAGACGTTGCTACAATTTGACATTTATATGACAAATTTACCGGTTCTCAAATTTTCTGAAATTTTCACTATAGTATCTCAACATAATGTACCAAATAATATTAAAAGATTTTTGGTGTACAAGAACCGGAAATTGGTGTGTTACTTCCGTAAAACAATTGATGTAGCAAAAAAGTGTATGAAAATACCAAAATTTTTAGACTTTAAGATTTTATAACTTTTTTATTATGTAATTTTTTGTTACATATTTGAGTTCATAATTTGCAACAGATCCTACTGTAAATAATATAATATTATTTGATAGCGTAAAACATTGTTTTGATAGTTTTTTGGACAAAATGTGAACCCTGTCGTACACCTTTGGAAGGCGGCACTAAATAGTTCATAGCACAGGCTCTGGGGACCTTTTATTTTTTTTAAAAAATATCTCATGGGTCGTGTCTTAGGGAGCTACAAATATAAACCAGTAATGGTTAAATTGCTTTGTGGGCAAAATTCTTTTGTTCCTGTAACAGGTCCTTTGTCAACAAGCAGCTCAATTTTATGTCCTTTGATGTGTTTTTCATAACATACGCTGCAAAAGAGTGTACAGCCATATCTTGATATCGCCGTTGTCCTTGCTCTCCAAATGAGTCGAAAAGTCAAAAGTTTTGATAGAAACCATATTTGAGGAAAGGATATTAAAGATTGATTAAAATATCTTAAGAATTTTTCGTTATCCATATTTCAGTTATTCTACTTCTTGAGTATACACGACTGTAACCCCGATTTAATGATACTAAGGATGGTAATGAGAAGTTTGGCCAGCTAGAAGAGCCAGCGATCAAACGTTCTTAAAAAGTATCCGTGTTAAGTTTTGGAATTCTTTACAAACGAGGCATGTCCGTATCATGTACGTGGAAGCAATGTAATACAGAAGCGTGAATACTGGGAAATGTATCAGTGTTTCCGTGGTTATCAGGGTGATACCGTAATTCTATATCATAGTGCACATTTTTGAGGACCTGTAACATCAGTTTCTTCTTGCAGAAATATACATAAAAGGGTTATATCGTCTCAAGATTGTGTAAAATAACTCATAGGAATGTTGTATATATATGTAGGTACCTGGATTTTATCAGCATTATGACCTATGACCTGCACGGTAGCTGGGAGCAGGTTACGGGCCATAACAGTCCGTTATTCCCTCGGAATTCGGAGACGGGCATTCAGCGACAACTCAATATGGTACGTCTTACTTACAGTTTTATATATATGGACGGTTCAGAAGTAATCACATCCTCNATTCTGTGTTTAACAACACTATGCTATTCTGAGTGTAATAACATTATGATATTCTGTGTGTAATTACACTAAAATATTTTGTGTGTAATAATGCTGATTTTCTGTATGTAATTACTCTCTAATATTCTGTGTGTACTTACACTATGATATTCTGTGTGTAATAACACTATGATATTCTGTGTGTAATAACGCTATGATATTCTGTGTGTAATAACGCTATGCTATTCTGTGTGTAATAACATTGATATTCTGTGTGTATTAATACTATGATATTCTGTGTGTAATAACACTATAATATTATGTGTGTAATAATTCTGATTTTCTGTATGTAATAACAATATGATATTCTTTGTGTAATAACACTATACTATTCTATGTGTAATAGCACTGATATTATATGAGTAATAACACTAAGATATTCTGTTTGCAATTACACTAATATATTCTGTGTGTAATAATACTGATATTCTGTGTTTAACAACACTATGCTATTCTGAGTGTAATAACATTATGATATTCTGTGTGTAATTACACTAAGATATTTTGTGTGTAATAATGCTGATTTTCTGTATGTAATTACTATCTTATATTCTGTGTGTACTAACACTATGATATTCTGTGTGTAATAACACTATGATATTCTGTGTGTAATAACGCTATGATATTCTGTGTGAAATAACGCTATGCTATTCTGTGTGTAATAACATTGATATTCTGTGTGTTATAACACTCTGATATGCTGTTTGTAATAACACTCCGATTTTCTGTGTGTTATAGCACTATAACATTCTGTGTGTAATAGCACTATGATATTCTGTGTGTAATAATGTATTCAGCTGAATTGTAAAGTTTTGCACTCATTTGATTATAAAAGGAAACAGACGTTTACGAAAAAATAACTGTTTGTGTTTAAAACATTCTAAGCCTTCATGATTCATACCAAACTGCATCTCTTTCCGGATGTCCCCGGCTTGTTGAAAGCTTTCACTAATAACTCGTCTCATTTATCACTAGACAGTCAGCTTCATCTGTTATATACTTACATTTGTCTCCTTACTAATAGTCTTATTGTACCGATCTCGGGCTGGTGTTCTTATAGAGTACTTATATTCTTTGACATTGATATTGTACCAATATCTCACTGTAAAACCATCCGGAATGAGCAATCAAATACGAATCGTGTTTTAGAATTTCTTAGGATGTATAAATATCTGTGTTATACACGCTACACATAAAGATAAGAAGACAGTATGAAAGGAAATAACTGCAAGTATTCCAAACTGGTTCCTTCTTGTAACACGCTAATGTTCATTGAATTAAAGAACCTTTAACACTATCGTTTTGTGTCCAGCTCTTGAGACTTTCCTGACAGTTGTTAAAGTATTTGGCATACAATTCATATTCCGTTTCCTCCCGACAATAGAAATGGGCATCAGATTATTGGGTAGGACTGGGAGCTCCCAAAGACAAACTAAACATCGGCCTAGCATCTTACGGACGAGGCTTCACACTGAAGGACGCGGCTAACCACAGTATGGGAGCACCGGTCAGCGGGGCCAGCCCGGCTGGGACTTACACAGGAGAAGCCGGATATCTGTCATATTACGAGGTAAGATTTTTTTATTTCTAAATAAAGATTCGTAGATTTGTAAAACACTGTCTTCTAACTCAATTGCTCCGCTCATAATATCGAATGTCTTCTTTGCATCATTTAATTTCCCCATGACAAAACCAAAGTCCTGTACACGCCACCATGCGGATGACACGAGTGGATTAGTCTGGAAACTGTTGCGGAACCATGCGTATCTATGATCCTTTGATCAAAGATAAAAGTGGATCGCGCGGCAGGGTTAGATAAATTTGACCCCAGTTTTTCGCATATCTTGTAATCCTGTGTTGCCTATGCAAACTTATCCGTTAAAATGTAACACCAGAATTGAGGTAGCACGGATGTTACTAACAAGAAAGGGAAAATCCTCGATCGGAAAATCGAAATCTTCACGTTTATCATACAATTTAGTATTAAAGTCAATCAAGTTTGTCATGATATTGCAGAGGGTTTATTGTGTCTTTGAATTGAAAATCAGAAAGCTCAGTATATACGATCGACCTGGTTATTTTTTTTTATTTGTTGATTGAAATACAACACATGGACGATATACCGAAAGTAAAATTGAATGATTTGGTAAGGTATTCGTTAACGTCCTGAAAACCTTTTAAAATTCAGGCTCAATTGAAAAACAGTCAAAGGTGGGGCACGGTTCGTTCTCATGGGTATGCCAGTAACCTGTATTGTATCCACAGAGCACAGTAGTGCCACAATTGTGATGCAGTGTAGTATGCGTTAATCAAGCTCATAAAAGACACTGCACAGAGTTCATGTTAGGAATGTTTAGTGTTTAACCTTATTTCGTTACAATGAGTTATTTTAGTGAGCACAAGTGAAGATTTTAGATAGAGGTATCAGTTTCTATTATTGTATACACGTTCCAAACAGATTTCAGTAACGCCAAACCTAATGACTATCCTTTCTTAACAGATCTGTAAAATGATGGAGTCGGGAGGGACCACGTACAGGGACAGTGAACAGCTGGTGCCATACTACGTGGACGGCATGACGTGGGTCGGTTATGACGATGAACAGAGTATTTCCATAAAGGTACACATCATTGAGCAGAAAACCAGTAAACTGTATATAATAATCAACTAACAGAGCTGTTTTATAAGACTATTTTTTTGTTTTAGATAATAGTCCAATGTCTTATCATGCTTTATGACTGTGCACATTTCATATGAGGTCAGTCAAGAACCTTTGTATATGTACATGCACCCGTGGCTAGTAATAAGCTAATCCGGGCCTGTCATTCTTCAATCACAGAATAGGTATACTATGGGTGGTCGGGTGGTGCAGTGGATATCGCACTTGCCTTTCACCAAGGCGGCCGGAGTTCGATTCCCCGATCGCACGTGAAAAAGTTGAGGTCACCTGCCCAATCACGTGGGTTTTCTCCGGGTACTCCGTTTTCCTCCCACACTAAGACCCCCCACGCGTTAACATCCGGGCCAACAAGGGTGATTAATATAAGTTGAAATAACTTGTTTCATAATTGTCGTTAAATATAGTTCATGTTTTAACTATGCATACATTTGATTTCATTCAATTGTTTTTATTGAAACGAAATATTTACGACTAAAGAGATTATAAAATATAAATATTTCTCACATTGCTTTTCACATGAACAGTTTTTTTGAATGATAGAATAGAAGCGAACTTGTGCCAAAACTTCAATCCTGGCTAGTATTAAAATATGACACTTATGTTGACTTCAATGGAGTGAAATTCTGACATGTTACAGGTGGCTTGGCTGGTACAGGAAGGCTTTGGCGGCGCCATGGTCTGGGCGCTTCCCCTGGATGACTTCAACAAGGTGTGCGCCTCATCTGACCGGAAGTTCCCCTTAACTAACAGAATTAAAGACGAGCTGATCGCTGCAGAGGGTGGCACCGTTCCACCAACTGTCGCCCAGGCAACCAGCGGCACTCTTATTACCGCTCCTACTCTGGCGGTTAACAACAGTAGGTCCTAACAATCGCGTATCGCATATTTTAAGAGACAATTTCTAGACTTTGATTTCAAAACAGACTGTGTACAAATGTGTGATCTCATAAAATTATAACATTTTACGCATTTGCATTTCAGTGTGCAGTGGTAAAGATGATGGGTATTACAAGGACCCTACCCAATGTAGTCGTTACTTCCGGTGTGTCGATGGACAGGAATACTTCGACCAGTGTGACCAGTCTAACATCACCACAGCACTACCAGCTACAGCGGCACCGATCAGCACAAAAGTAAAGGCCCCAGTGACCACAGCGGTACCGCACAGCACAAGGGCACCAGTGACCACAGCAGCACCGGTCACCACATCAGCACCTGGATGTAAGAACTAGCGCAACAAATACATGTGTAAAAAGCTAATTAGTTGAGCATTTCGGGTGGTGACGAAAGACCTAAATATTATATGCTGTTTTATTGAGTAAGTCATGTGGCACATTTTTAAAATCATACCTATTTACCAATTCACGTTATGCTAGTATGTATTCTAGCCTTTTACAAATTTCATGTTTGTGTTAAACATCGTTGATTCGAACAAATCCACTCACCTTCCCAGAAATTGATATTATATAAATACACGTATTTTAAGTTAATGCAATATTATAAACCAATATAAATATCTAATTAAGATATACCGTTATTTTCAGATGACATTACTCATTTGTGATTTTTTTATTCAACTTCGTCATCTACACGTATATTTGCAGTTTTCTCTTGTACTGGGCGTCCTAGTGGAGACTATCCAAACCCTACAGACTGCTCAAGATTCATTAAGTGTGCAAATGGTGTCGCCTACGACTTCCAATGCCCCTCCGGGACGCTTTACGGCAAAGACACCAAGGTGTGTGTGTGGGCTTATGTGGCGAAGTGTTAGCTACACCGGCGAGATATATCACTAATGAGGTGGGAGACAAACTTTACGTGGCAGTCATTTACGGCAATCAAGAGGAGCACAGAACTTCAATAAGTATAAGACTACTTAATCAAGACAGTGAGGAGTTCATCAGAACTTAAATTTAGCCTACCTTGACTCCAGCATCAAGGGAGGGCACACAGATCCAACGATACCTTGATAGAATTCATTTAATAATTACGATAATCTGTGTCTAGTTTATGATTTTATGTATTTTGTTACTTTTCATATCGTACATATAGCGTTTACATTCAGGTAGGGTAAAGTATTCAAAGAACCATCATATCACTAGTTGTAGCCCTATAATCCATTTGACCATTAGTCCTCGCAAGTCAAAGGGTCGTCATGCAATTAGTCCGGACAGTCCAGACAGTCCTGAGACGGCACTGTAGTCCAAGGATCACCATGGAGTTACGATATTGCGTATGTTGTGTACTAATATTCGCTCTCGTGACAAATTTGCCCTCATTTCGGAGAGCGAAAACGACGGAGATTAGACTCCATCGAAAATATCCTGAAATACAGTATTCTCTTCGATCCTGGGGTGGGTTGGGGCATTAGACCAAGGGACGTCGAGTAATTAGTTCCGACAATCAACGGAGGGTAGGGCCTAAACATGTAAGGAGTCTTTACAATCCAGGGAGGGTGCTGTAGTCAAAAGACTATAATATAACTAGTCTTTACAATCCAGGGAGGGTACAATAGTCCAACGACTATAATATAACTAGTCTTTACAATCCAGGGAGGGTGCTGTAGTCAAAAGACTATAATATAACTAGTCTTTACAATCCAGGGAGGGTACAATAGTCCAACGACTATCATATTATTAGTCTTTACAATCAAGGGAGGGTACAATAGTCCGAGGACTATCATATAATTAGTCTTACCAATCCAGGGAGGGTACAATAGTCAAAGGACTAAAATATGATTAGTCTTTACAATCCAGAGAGGGTGCTGTAGTCCAAGGACTACCGTGTAATTAGTCTATACAATCCAGGGAGGGTATATAGTCCAAGGACTGTAATATGATTAGTCTTTACAATAAAGGGAGGGTACTATAGTCCAAGGACTATAATATGACTAGTCTTAAGAATCCATGGAGGGTACTATATTCCAAGGACTACCATGTAATAAGTCATTACAATAAAGGGAGGGTACTATAGTCAAAGGACTATAATATGACTAGTCTTAAGAATCCGAGGAGGGTACAATAGTCCAAGGACTATCATATAATTAGTCTTTACAATCCAGGGAGGGTATTATACTCCAAGGACTACCATGTAATTAGTCTTTACAATCCTGGGAGGGTACTTTAGTCCAAAGACTATCATATAATTAGTCTTTACATTCCAGGGAGGGTATTATAGTCCAAGAACTATAATATGATAAGCCTTAAGAATCCGGGGAGGGTACTATAGTCCAAGAACTATAATATGATAAGCCTTAAGAATCCGGGGAGGGTACTATAGTCCAAAGACTATCATATAATTAGTCTTTACATTCCAGGGAGGGTATTATAGTCCAAGAACTATAATATGATTAGTCTTAAGAATCCATGGAGGGTACTATAGTCCAAGGTCTATACTATGATTAGTCTTTACAATCCAGGGGGATATAATAGTCTAACGACTATAATATAATTAGTCTTTACAATCCACGGAGGGTATTATAGTCCAAGGATTATAATATGATTAGTTTTTACAATCCAGGGAGGGTACAATAGTCAAACGACTATCATATAATTAGTCTTTACAATCCAGGGTGGGTACAATAGTCCAAGGACTATAATATGATTAGTCTGTACAATAAAGGGAGGGTACTATAGGCCAAGGACTAGTCTTTACAATACAGGGAGTGTACAATAGTCAAAGGACTATAATATTATTAGTCTTTACAATCCAGAGAGGGTGCTGTAGTCCAAGGACTACCGTGTAATTAGTCTATACAATCCAGGGAGGGTATATAGTCCAAGGACTAAAATATGATTAGTCTTTGCAATAAAGGGAGGGTATTATAGTCCAAGAACTATAATATGATTAGTCTTAAGAATCCATGGAGGGTACTATAGTCCAAGGAGTATAACATGACTAGTCTTAAGAATCCATGGAGGGTACTATAGTCCAAGGATTACCATGTAATTAGTCTTTACAATCCTGGGAGGGTACTTTAGTCCAAAGACTATCATATAATTAGTCTTTACATTCCAGGGAGGGTATTATAGTCCAAGGATTATAATATGATTAGTTTTTACAATCCAGGGAGGGTACTTTAGTCCAAAGACTATCATATAATTAGTCTTTACAATACAGGGAGTGTACAATAGTCAAAGGACTATAATATTATTAGTCTTTACAATCAAGGAAGGGTACAATAGTCAAAGGACTAAAATATGATTAGTCTTTACAATCCAGGGGGATATAATAGTCTAACGACTATAATATAATTAGTCTTTACAATCAAGGGAGGGTACAATAGTCCAACGACTATAATATAATTAGTCTTTACAATTCAGGGAGGGTACCATCTGATTAGCCTTTATAATCCAAAGAGGGTGTAACATGATTAGTCTTTACAATCCAGGGGGATATAATAGTCTAACGACTATAATATAATTAGTCTTTACAATCCACGGAGGGTATTATAGTCCAAGGACTATAATATGATTAGTCTTTACAATAAAGGGAGGGTACTATAGTCCAAGGACTATAACATGACTAGTCTTAAGAATCCATGGAGGGTACTATAGTCCAAGGATTACCATGTAATTAGTCTTTACAATCCAGGGAGGGTATTATAGTCCATCGACTATCATATAATTAGTTTTTACAATCCAGGGAGGGTACTGTAGTCAAAGGATTATAATATGATTAGTCTTTACAATAAAAGGAGGGTACTATAGTCCAAGGACTAGTCTTTACAATACAGGGAGGGTACTATAGTCAAATGACTAACATATAATTATTCTTTACAACCCAGGATGGGAACTATAGTCCAAGTAATATAACATGATTAGTCTTTACAATCCAGGGTGGGTACACTAGTCCAAGTAATATAACATGATTAGTCTTTACAATCCAGGGTGGGTACACTAGTCCAAGTAATATAACATGATTAGTCTTTACAATCCAGGGTGGGTACACTAGTCCAAGTAATATAACATGATTAGTCTTTACAATCCAGGATGGGTACACTAGTCCAAGGACTATAATATGATTAGTCCTTACAATAAAGGGAGGGTACTATAGTCCTATGACTATAATATGACTAGTCTTAGAATCCAGGGAAGGTACTATAGGCCAAGTACTATCATGTAGTTAGTCTTTACAATCCAGGGATGGTACTAAAGTCTTAGGACTACCATGTAGTTAGTCTGTACAATCCTGAGTGGATACTGTAGTCCATGGACTATCATATAATTAGTCTTTACAATTCAGGGAGGGTACTATACTCCAATGACTATCATGTGATTATTAGCCTTTATAATCCAAAGAGGGTACAATAGTCCAAGGACTAGTCTTTACAATTCAGGGAGGGCACTAAAGTCCAATGACTATCATGTAATTTATCTTTACAATTCAGCGAGGGTACTTAATTCTTAGGTCTACCATGTAGTTAGTCTTTACAATTCAGGGAAGGTACCATGTGATTAGCCTTTATAATCCAAGAGAAGGAGGGATGGTACAACACAGCCGGATTAATCGTGTTTGTTAAACGATTTGTTATGGAATTATTCAACAAAAAGTAGCATCTGCAGTTTGGTTTAGTTGTGAAATAATCTAGAACAACGATCATGCAAGTCATCATGATATTTAATTAGTTTATAATAGAGATATCTTATAAAGGGGGTCTAGTAGTCTCTCACTCTAAGGAAAGTATGATCCAAATCCAGAGAGGTATTCTGGTCTCTAAATCAAGAGCTGTATTATACTGGTCTCTAAATTAAGAGCTGTTTTATACTGGTCTCTAAATCAAGAGCTGTATCATACTGGTCTCTAAATCAAGAGCTGTATTATACTGGTCTCTAAATCAAGAGCTGTATTATACTGATCTCTAAATCAAGAGCTGTATTATACTGGTCTCTAAATCCAGAGAAGTATGCAAGTTTTTCAGTCGAGTGTGGGTTTACTAGTCTCTTGATTTAAAAAAACTTTTACAATCTGTCAAACACAAGTGTGTGTGTGTGTGTGTGTGTGTGTGTGTGGGGGGGGGGGGGGGGGGGGGGGGGGGGGGGGGTATACTAGTCTTTCAATCCAGATATATAGGGGTATACAAGTCTCTCAGTACCAGTCTTCACAGGCAGGAGGTGGGGGTAGTTACAGTTCATACATTACTTGATGTTTTATATGATGCACAGTCTCTACCAAAATTAAATAAAAATCCAGCTTATTGGAGCGTGAATATCTTCAGATGCTGAACTGTTCAGTTTATTACAAAGTTGGACGGTTAACTACAGCGTGGTATGTTATATAGTTTGATGAACATTTTACAAAGTATGTGCGACTATCCTTCTGCGCATGTGTCGTCTTGGAAAAAAATCGCACGATGCATTAGTTTGATCTTTTCCTTCCCACCGAAAATAGAAAATATCGATGTCACATGACGCTTTTTGGTATCTTGCTTCTATCCGCTTTATTGATATTACTTTCACGTGGGTTATAATTTGGCGTCCTCATTCTCTCCGAGAATGTCAATGCGGATATCCGGGCTCTGTGTGTTGTGAGATGAAATACACTGCCGGAAGAATGTAGCAGACACTCCATAGAGGGCGCCCCATTTCCGTATGATATGTCGTGGCGAGTCGCCATTAACAGTGATATGATCTACGTCGGCGTTTCCATCCGCCACCCACATCGACAAAAACGTTATCAAGGGGAGCTTGGCCTGTTTATCCATACTGACGAATACGTCCTGGACAAACAACCGAGTTTCTAGATAGGACGGCTGCAGGGAAAGCGTCAGAGAGGAGTTATCTCGGTAAAGTACGCTTAACGATACCGTCCGAGTGTCGATGCCAATAGATATGATGTCAGTATACGGACGGGGAAACCGCGGGTCTGCAGCTCCAAGTACAACGGAAGACCCAAAAGGAATCCAGTCCAAACCATGAGGTGCCGGAGGGGCAAGCTTTACTAGTCCGTCCTGACATATCTCAAATATCCGAGAGTGGAGATCGGCCTCCCATTGTTGTCTATAGTTAATCCGGACACAGTCTATATCGAAGTACGAATTCCCATTCTGGAGTACCGAGACTGTCATGTTTTTGTCCCTTTGCCACCAAAAATCAAGATCAATCCCTTCCACAATAAACTCTTCGTTATCGAATATTACACGTTTCGAGTTGTTCAGTTTTCTCTCTTCCAGTCCAATCTCCTCTATGACTATAGGTAAGGATGCCTCTGTTAAAGTTCTCACAAAGGTCAGTTTTACAAGGTTTCCAGTTTGTTCTGACCAAGACCAGTCCGGGATAGACCAATTCCTGCTTAATATTTCAGGGTCGAACGATTGCCATGACAACTCTGTCCATGTCCGTTTCTGCCCTATATATGCCACAAACACCTGGACAACTGATGATATTTTCCGTAACTTCACATAAAGTGTTGAACCCACATTTAGATTGCGGAAGTCTCTCGTTTTCAGCCGTTCTATTGCCGCAAACGTCACGATGATCTCTGTGTTATCATTTTTTCCTGCAAATCTAATAAGGGCACGTGCTGATTCCACGGGAGTTCTAGACGGTTCTACACTAACATTGTTAAATTTCCATATTGGATTTGTTATCTTACACCCTTCATAGGTCGGTTTTCTGTAATTTCCAAATGACCTATACTTGGGTCCAGAGGCAGTGATCACAAACTTTCTAGCAGTATCGTGGTAAATTGCGACCTTGACATTATCGTCTTCGCCACAGGTCGCGCTCGTGCTGTACTGGACGAACTTGGCGCTGGGAACGTCGTCTCGTCGACCACCGACATCGCTATAGTTAATGTCTTCAAAACAAAACAATGCACATCTAAAGGCTTTCTCAGTCAGATCCCCGTCTTCAACGTTGAAAAGGATCACGTCCAATTCAGTGCCCCATCGATCTGATGTACTTACATTCAGCGTAACGGTGTGGCGTCCGGGTGGTAATATCATTGGTTTACCGATATTCCAGCTGGACCGGAAGTCATTCCAGTCGGATTTCCCCCCAATTAACATTTTTGCTTGAACAGTTCCAATGTGTTTCCGGTTAATGTGTATATCTATCAAATCTGTTGGACCATCGTTAGAATACATCATGTTGACTATCTCAACTTTTCTGTAGCCTGGTAGACAGAACTCGCCGATCACCACGTCATTTTGGAACAAATGCACAGAGAACTGGTGTGAAGCACGTGACCG